AAGTTGGAGAAAATAATTAAATGATATGAATATTGATGAGTCCTTATGTGCGGTAGAAGTTGGACGAAATACATATAAACAGAGCGCTTAGATGAAGCCAGCAGTTTGGGAGAGACAACAGGACAAGTCAAGTGACAGGTAAGACACTTTTTGGTTTCCGCGTTTCTCTCGTGATAATTATTGCACCTCGCCAATAGAAAAATTTGTTTTCATAACTGGATTTTTGTCGGGTTGTTTCTCTTTTCCCGTGTGACGTTTAGCTAGACAGTGAAAATGAGTGGATATGGATCGGATGATGGGGTTCTATAGATGGAAATGAGGTGAACAGGCCTCAGGTATCGGATAAATTTAAAAACCTGTTGGGACGACCCAGGGTACCAGTGTATAAAAGGGACTCGGGAGCATTAAAGAACCGGTTAGCGGCGATAGGGAAGAAACAGGTTATCTACGAGTTATCAGCGGTAGAAACAATACTGTTGGCATATGATGCAGCTGAAGGGCTGGTCTCTGAGTTCATAGGAGGCCACCTAGCGAGGGACCCTGGATTAGTGTATTGCTGACATAGAATCTGCTGATAAAAGAACATGCAGATTAGGGAAAGGGAATAGAGGTCATGATTTGCCTCTCAGAAGAGGGATGAGATGAATTAGGAGCAAGGGCACCGAAATTGTCGCCCATGGCTTTCGCCGAGGAAGTAAGGGGGGGATGCTGCCATTCAGGTCAAGTTGGCGGATTTGTTCATAGATGTTCTGGAAAATGAATGCATTAGGCATGACGTGATTAAGGAGGCGCCAATTAGGTTTTCAGTGGCTATAGACCTGGCCAAAGACTGAAAAATTATGGGAATAGTGGAACGTGGGTTCAAGGTCTGGAAGAGTTAGGCAACAGGAAGAATAGAGGAAAGAAAACCCACATATGGAATAAGAATGTAGTATGAGAAAAGAATTTCCCAATAGGAAAGTATGATCATTGGGGCATGGATTCTATAAGCCCACACCTGGTTGATATGGGTTTATTTGCTGGACTTGTAATCATAAAAGTCGTAGGGCAGTGGATTGTCCGACAAAGTGGGGACTGTCCTTGGATTTTCACAGGCCAAAATGCAGTAAATGTGGCCAAAACGGACATCAGACCAAGTGGTGTGGATTCAAGAAAAAGAGACCCCCACCGTCACCAGACCCGCACTTGGAAGACAGAACCAGGGAAATACCAATGGGTCGCCTGAGAAATAAGAGGTATGCGATGCCGGGCATGTGACCAGGTCGGCCATCTTGCTGCCAACTGCCCCAGAAGAAGGTGCTGGTTTTGTAAGGAAGCAGAACACCTCAGGTGAATTTGTCCCTTTAGAAATAGGGATAGTAAACAGAAGGGTTATCCGAGGACACCACGAAATGAAGGTAGATGGTCTACAAAGATAATGAAGGACTATTATTGCCGGCACCCATGTTCGGATGGTGAAGCGGACATTTCCCCAGGAAAAAGCTAGATGAGGTGTTATCCTTATTGACCCAAGTGTAACAATACGATTTCTCACACATCCTTAGAAGATAAGTAGATTCCTTCTAAGTCCATTTAGTTATCTGAGATTCTTAGGAAATTTGACTCCAGTCCATCTTTGACTCAAGTGTCAGTCTTTTCAGGAATTCTGTTTCAAGTAGTAAATATAAAAGGTTGTTAATCATTTTAGATGATCATAAAAGTAGAGTTTTGAAGATTTAACCACCCATCTAATTTCAGGTGGTCTCAAACCTTCTGCAACACAAAGTGGGTGGAACCCCAGACATTATTCATATAAGCAGAGAGAGGCAGAAAGTCAAAGAGAAAGGGGTCCAGCAGTCAGAGAACTATGTAGGTGACCAGCGAGTGTGTAGCTATCCGGCGGCCAGGCAGTGAGGAATTAGCAGTGAGCGAAACCAGAGGCAGTGAATGTAAGGGCCTTTTTTTCCGCGGCTGGAAGTTAGTAAGATAGTAGTCCACATCTTGAAGATGAAGGAAGAATCCCACAGTTAAGCGAGAAAGCATATTGTTGCTAATTTCCAACTATTGTCTTTAGCAATTGTCATTATTATTTTTGTTGAATGGAATCACGTCTAAGGAGACAAATCTGTGAACATAGCGAGTTGGGTGCATGCAGATACAACCAACCTTGGATGTCACCACAGGTTATACAGAGAACGAGTAGAGAACTTCGTCACAAATTTTGCTACAAATTGGTTGCCGTGACAAGGATTGACTACGAAGCTGCTACAGAAATAAAAAAGGAAAGAAAGAAACTCAGAGTGGAAATAAGAAAGTAAATAACATTAAAAGGAAAAAAAAAGATAAATTTCGTTGAAAGAAAAACAACGTGAAAAAGGCAGAAAAACTTGAAAGAAAAAGAACAGAACTTTGAAACTAAAAGAAAAATAAATCATTGAAAGAAGATATAAAAAGAGAGAAAGGGTGAAGGTTTTTTTGTTTTGTTTTGTTTGTTTATTCGCACACGCCAAGGAGAGAAAGACAGAAGAAGGGGAAAGCAGACGAATAGAGCAAAGAAAACAAAACTATTAAAGGTAGGAGTTTTTAATCTCTCTCTGTCTCTAAATCTTACCAGCTGTATATTATATACTAGCAGTAGAGCCCGGCGTTGCCCAGGGATGTAACAGTAAGAGATAGATCAAGTATCGACCATCATAAAGACTGAAAAATAAAATTGACAAATATTATTGTTTAAGGTTGACGGACGCGCATGTCTTAATTAGTTTTTATTTTTTTTTACGAATTGGTCAAACCCAAACTCAAACAAAAACATTGTTTTCAATCGTTATGAGTCTACCGATTGAATAGAATTTTATTATAAACAATTGTCTTGTAAATGGAATTTTAAAGCATTCTGAATGTAAAAATAAAGAAAAAAAGTGTTTCAGACAATAAGAGACACTACCTGCCAAAAAAAAGTGAAGTTTTGTTGAAATCGGTTGAAAAAATGTACGAAATTCGATCCCATATATAAACGAACACACACACACACACACACACACACACACACACACACACACACACACACACACACACACACACACACAGCCAACCTGGGTTTTATAATAAGTAAAACTCGATAACTCGATACTAATAAGTATAACTCGATATGAGTTGTCCCCCTTTCATTAATGCCTCTTAATCGTGTTTTCAAATTGATTTCGTGCAAAAACAATTGTGTTTTTCCAATTTTTGGCACTGTCAGAACCACCGCAAGGTAATTTTACGTAGTCCTGTGAAGTTTTGTTGAAATCGGTTGAAAAATGTAGGAAATTCGATCCAATATATAAACGTACAGACACACACACACACACACACACACACACACACACACACACAATCTGCGTTTTATAATAAGTAAGATATATATTCTCATTTTGGTCACTGGCGTTTTTTTGTTCATTCTATTTTATTGTCTTAATGACTTTTTTCTGTTAGCGAAAGTAATATTTTTTTTAGTCTTTTTTAAGTATTTTTTTTTTATATATAACAATAGATTAGTAGATATATCAATGTTACCCTTCATCCCGTTTCTAGAATGGTGCCAGAAGGTCATGGAATCCTCCACATTTGCCTGTCACCCCATACGGGAAGATGCACTCTTCCCCAAATAAACCTTTAACCAATCATCACTTTACTTTTCCAAATTCAATCCCCCATTGGTTAAAAGGACACTAAAATGTAGCAAAGTTGAGACAGACCTTTTTTCCCGCGCAGGTCTCTGGGGACTATTTGGAAACTCGAAAATCTATAAAAAGGATCGTTCGACGTAATTCAAGTTAGTCAGACACTAACACTTCATAAATTAAATCAACTGTAGCAGTTGGTACACACATACACACTATCATTTGAACTTATCGCACACGGCCGGAAGTTACTGCCGGCTACTCAAACGTCTGAAAGCGTCACCGCGGAAAACAGAATGAATGCCGTTAACTTCCGGTGACTCAGCGTTTTTCAGAGAACGATACACAAAAAGCAAAACGTACGAAACATAAACAAACACAAGTCCTCCTAATGACCAGAAACTACTTTATATACACATGGTGTCCAAATGAAACCCATGTGTACAGTCAAAATGCTGATGGTAATTTTTAATCATCAACCAAAAGGCATTGCTAACCGGCTACGATGCTGACCACAGTGGACATAAACACAGCCGACTTCTTCCACCAAATCACTTGGCTCACGGCTGATTTGGCCCCGGTAGAGCGACGTTCTCACCCTCTAACCTTCACCTGGCAGACCCTCGCCGTTTACCGCACGAAGCAGCCAACTTCAGCAGCAGCAGCAGTGGGCCGACGCAACCGCAGCAGCAGCAGCCGAACATGATATGCGACTAACTTGGCCACATGATATGCGACAATCCTTTTCAGGACTAACACGACCACATGATATGCGATAGTCCGTTTCAGGACTAACCTCGACCCAACTGCAGCAGCGGCAGCCGAACATTATATGCGATAGACCTTTTTAGGACTAGCCTGACCACATGATATGTGATAGTCTTTTTCAGGGCTAACCTGGCTACATGATATGCGAAAGTCCTTTTTTAGAACTACCAAACTGCGTTCTTACACGACTGTCATTCTAAGGACGAACAGGCTACACCAGCACCGTCTGCGCCGATCCACTCTCTTCTTAAACGGCGACGCGCTCTTTACAAAAGGGCAGACATTCGGCGATTGACAGGACCTTGAATACCGCTGTTCCATCTGCCTGCCCCAGAGCTGCCGCCTTGAACCCTAATAACGATCCTTCAACTGGCACTCCCTGACTTCACGATTGAACTACGCCAAACAATTCCTGTACCTACATTTGTCCAGATCGACAAATAAATCCGACGTTTGTTATTCTAAACCTCTGCCTTTGTTCCTCATTGTCTTAGCTGTTTACACGTTTCTTCGTAAAAAAACTTGCGGGGCGACATCCTTATCGGGCCCGCAACAAGTGGTGACTTCCCGACGTGAGACAGCTAAACGATGATGGAGTCGGTCAAAGGTGATTCTTCAGACATGACGGCCGCGATCATACCGCTACTTGCATACCACCATAATGCAAAGAACTGGTTCTTGCAGGTAGAATCGATCTTTTCCATGTTACGCATAAGTTCACAGCGAGCCAGATTCGCAAACGTAATGCAGAAACCCCCATCCGATATGATGGACGAGATTTCTGATGTCCTCTCCGATTTGCGCGAACATGAACCGTATGATCACTTAAAGGAAGAGATCCTCAAGCGTACTGGTCGTTCTGAAGAGGACATGATTTAAGAGATTCTACGGAACGTCACCAGAGGTGACAAAACGCCAACCCAGCTTCTCAGGTATATGAGGAATCAGCTGGGAAAGCACAATGTATCAGAAAAGGTTCTTCGAGGCTTGTGGCTGGAGCGTTTGCCCAAATCAGTCGCTCAGATTATCGCCCCGATGACGAGAGCCACACCTCTGGACGATTTGAATCTTCTGATCTGGTTTTTGCGCAGTTTGACCACAGCGTTAACGTAGTTCACCCTTCCGATACAGCAAAACACGAACGCTACGAGCGGAACGAGACAGAACAGGCGTTGGCCGACCTGCAAAGACAAATTCGAGAAATTCAGATCTCCCTGCGCCCACGGACAAGGAAACCAACCCTATCTCGACAACAAAGGAGTCGAACCCCCAGCCGAGAACGGCGAAGCGATCAGGGCATGTGTTGGTTTCATCGCACATTTGGCGATAGAGCCAGGAACTGTAGAACTCCCTGTACACACCCGTCGGCCCGGGGAAACGAATAAACCAGAGAGTGGCGACGACTAACTCATCCGGTGCCAACACGCAATGTCGTCTATTCTACGTTTGGGATCGCCGGAACAAACTGAAATTCCTGGTAGACACAGGTGCGGCCATCAGTGTGGTACCCTATCAAAACGACCACGCCGCTAAGCCCACCCTATTCAAACTACGAGCTGCGAATGGTTCCGCGATAGACACGTACGGAGAAAGGACCCTCCTCTGAACATCGGCATGCGACGTGATTTCACTTGACATTCACCGTGGCCAACGTGAAGATACCTATCCTCGGCGCGGATTTCCTGGTGCATTACGCACTGGCGGTCCATATGAACCCTAGGACCCTATCCGACACTACTACGAATCTTCGTCCTTAGGTACGCCTACACGTCAAAGCTCTACAGGAATCAGCGTCGCAACATGCCATGGTCGCAAGTACTTACATCTCCTGACACAGTTCACAGAAATAACACTGCCACCCAAGCTACTGTTTCAGGTGACCACCAAACTCAGCACCACATCAGAACTAGAGGTCCCCCTGCACACTCCCACACGCGACGACTTGCTCAACACAAAACTGACGTACGCCAAGGAACAATTCGACAAAATGCTGAGGACGCATCATTCGTCCTTCCGATAGCCCCTTACGCCTCGCCACTGCACTTAGTGCCTAAACCTGGTGGCAAAGAATTTCGGATATGCGTCGACTACCGAAAATTAAATGCATCGACCGTACCAGACCGCTACCCTGTCCCTCATATCCACGATTTTGCGTCCGGACTGGAGGGTGCTCGCATCTTTTCGAAAATCGACCTGACAAAGGCATACCATGAGATCCCCGTCGCTGCGGAAGACGTTCCCAAGACCGCAGTCACAACACCGTTTGGCCTATATGAGTTTCTTAAAATGCCATTCGGCCTACGTAACGCTGCCCAGACCTTCCAACGGCTCATAGATGAAGTCCTGCGCGGACTACCACACGTATACGCTTACATCGACGACATCTTGGTGGCCAGTAAAACGCCGACTCTCACAGGCAAGACCCGCGAGAAGTTTTCCAGCGGCTCTCACACTATGGTCTAAAGCTGAACTTGGACAAGTGCGTTTTCGGAACGCCCAGTGTCGATTTTCTCGGGCACCACACCGACGCTAACAACATAGCACCTCTGCCAGACAAGATCAGCTCGATCCGGGATTTTCCTACACCAACGTCCATCAAACAATTGCGACGTTTCCTCGGTATGATGAATTTGTATCGTCGATTCATCCAAAATTGTGCCACTATTCTTCAGCCACTGACGAACCTACAGCAGAAAAAGAATAAGGACATCGCATTGGGTGGGGGGGATGCTCTGCACGCATTCCATACGGCGAAGAACGCATTAGCCAATTTCACTAGGCTTTCGCATATTAACGACGATCCGAAGATGCGACTGTCCCTGACAACCGACGCGTCGGACGAAGGAGTGGCGCTGTAGTTGAGCAGGAATACAATTCACAACGCGAACCTATCGCATTCTTTTCAGCCAAGCTTTTGCCAGCCCAGAGAAAATACAGCACTTTCTCACGAGAACTCCTGGCTATCTACCTGTCCATCCGTTATTTCCGACATCTCCTGGAGGGCAGACATTTCGCAATCTTCACGGATCACAAACCGCTGACCAACGCGATGAATGTCAGCGCAGACAGGTACACATCCCATGAAACACGTCACCTCGATTACATCTCACAGTTTACGACGGACATCAGACACGTCAAAGGAAAGAACAACACAGTCGCAGACACATTGTGTAGAACAGACGTCAATACCCCTGGATAACGATATCCTGAGGCAGGAGCTGATAGCCGACAAACAAAAAGACGATACGACGATACCTGACATTATCAAGACTTCTTTGAAACTGCAGGAATTCCCGTGTCCGTTCAGCAATAAAACTCTTTTCTGCGACACCGCGCTGGATACTCCGAGACCGTACATTCCTCCATCTCTAAGAAAAAAAGTATTTCTCCATCTCCACAATCTATCCCATCCGAGCCAGCGAGCGTCAAGCTTATCGCCGATCGATTCGTGTGGCCTAACATGAATTCAGACATTTGATGTCTGAATTCATGTTAGGCCACATGATATGCGAAAGTCCTTTTTTAGAACTACCAAGCTGCGTTCTTACACGACTGTCATTCTAAGGACGAACAGACTACAGCAGCACCGTCTGGGCTGATCCTCTCTCTTCTTAAACGCCGACGCGCTCTTTACAAAAGGGCAGACATCCGGCGATTGACAGGACCTCGAAAAATACCGCTGTTCCATCTGCCTGCCCCAGAGCTGCCGCCTTGAACCCTAACAACGATCCTTCAACTGGCACTCCCTGACTTCACGATCGAACTACGCCAAACAATTCCTGTACCTACATTTGTCCAGATCGACAAATAAATCCGACGTTTGTTATTCTAAACCTCTGCCTTTGTTCCTCATTGTCTTAGCTGTTTACACGTTTCTTCGTAAAAAAACTTGCGGGGGCGATATCCTTATCGGTCCCGCAACAAACTTACACAATTGGCAATTTTCCTTGCAGATATTAAACTATTTTAATTTCACAAAAAAACTTAAACTATCAACCTTTACTCACTAAATTTCTGCATGGACAATCTTTGTAACCTTATTTCACTTGCCACATTTAACAAGCAACTTATTATCACTTTGTGTATGTCATATATATATATATATATATATATATATATATATATATATATATATAAATTCATGTTATTGTTGAAATCTCTAATAACGTTGTTTTCAGTAATTTCTTGAAGTCGAATTGTCTATTTATTTTTGTTTGATGTGGAATTTGTTGTGGATAAATGCATTACGATCACGCACATTCTTATTCTTGGCCTTCTGATACATCTTACTCAGCATAGATTCCGCAACAAGGTTAAAAAATTCCTATTATACTCAGGAAATCATTGGTAATTTCATGCTTAGATAGAAGCGCTGAAAAGGAAAGCCAGAATTCATAATCTATCCTTGGCAGAAATTGTCAACTTAGTTTATGATTATTCTGATGGGACTGTATCCAAATAAGTGTGTATACCTAGACGACAACCCTGAAGCTAGTTGGACAGACCTTTTACAACAGCTAACAACCCAATATGCAAAATATGTAAGCGTTTAGTAACCCTCATTTCAATTTTCAAACATTTTCTTGAATTTCATTGGTTGTTAAATAAAAATAAACTTCGAGAAATTTCCATAACAAAATAGGCTCAACTGACATAAAAAAAATCTTTCTCAAATTCATCCCTAATTTAAATGTTTCAAGAAATCCTATTGGCTAAAAAATAAAAAATACAACATTCGCCCACGCATTTCTCAGAAAAACTCAGAAAAAACAAGCTACCAAGCCGCTGGAGCTGATTTTCTTGTTAAAAAAAACTATAAATGAAACAGCAATCTAATTTTCGTCACATTTTGAGACTCACGTACGGAAAGATACACACGGGAATTATGTGTCAAAATTGCCACCAAAGAAACAAACTTTCTTTATGAGAGATTAGAAAATTTCATACAACAAACTGTTTAACTTAATATCTTTCATAGAAAAATTTTTTCTAAGTTAAATTCAACCTTTCAATCAAAGGCAGACAACTTTTCAGACATTGAACATTTCCGAAACAGCAAAGAAATTTTCCTCTATACTTTTGCACACATCATTACAAAAAAAGAAATTGTAAATTGTGTATATAAAATTTAATCTGTTGTTTCAAACATGTATTTTTTGTCGTGATTGAATATCGTTACCATTTGACCATTTCTTATAATTTATGTTTGTGGATATTGCATATTTTATTTGCAGCACAATCTTAAATATTCAATGTGTAGCAAGGTCCGCGACGAACGACGGGTCAGCAATAGAAATGTGAAGGATTGTCGATCAGATGGAGAGGACCCCACCACATTTATTTAACTTTTATTAGGAATGACGTGGAAAAGGACAAGGAAAGACGCTGGTGGTCACCATCAAATATGGCGGTCACATGCAATTTATATTTGACGTAAAATAGCACATAGCAAAAATACAAGACAGAAAGTAATGGTTCAAAACATAACATTTGAATTTATTTGTTTTGATGTACATGCATATAAGTTAAAGGTTTGATATAGTTACGTCTCTTAGATTTGGGAAATATTTGAATTAATTATTAAACTGTAGTTTTAGAAGAATAAAGTTCCTGTTGCATGTTAGGAAATGTGAGTTGGAAAGGTTGGTAGAGTTCAGAAGAGTTAAGAGTTCGTACTTGCATGAATGTTGGCAATGTTCTTTAACATCTGACCACAAGGTCAAGACGAGAGTTCTTGAAGATTACATCTTGGCAGCAAGGAAGGAGACGAAAGAGAAAACGGAGAGAGAAGGCTTACTCGTGTTTTGTTTATTTAAGGGTGTGTATCACGTGACAGGCTCCGAAACTTGTGCGCGGGAAAATTATTCCTCGCATGCAGGCGATTTGATTGGTTTGAATTGACCAATCAGCAAGCTAGTTTTGAGGAGATTAACCAATGAATGCTTGTCGTATGATCTGTATGTATGCATGTGTGTGTGGTGATGAGGTACCAAATTTATCTTGATAGCTGTTTATTTTCTTTTATGGAATATCAACCTCAAAGGGTTATTTAATGCCAACAATTTTTTTTTGTATAAATATGTATGAATAAAAAATATATTCTTTGTAATAAAATCAGTTTGTAAATCAAGTTACATTAAAACTTTTGCAAAGAGGGTCTCTGTCGAAAGACAATTATATTGCTGGTAATATTCTTTCCTTCAATAAAGGATAGCGAGCAATGTTTATTCTCTACATATCCGGTTTCTTATCGAACAACTCTACAATGTGAGCTCTCGCAAAAAGATGACGCCATGAACATTAAACACACATACACGTACGTACGAACATTCACCAAAGAACAAACACAAATGTTCACACACACGCAAATGTTATTGTCTATGTCCATTGTAAAATGGTGTTGTTCAATAAATATATCTGTTTATATATATATATATATATATCGGTCTTGTTTTGTTTTCTTTTCGTCTTCGGTTGGACACAACTAGAGTCATTTTCAGACTTTCTAGCAGAAAATAAATGCACATGTTTCTAATTCAACAACACTCAAATACACACGGTCTTCTATACTGCAATGCTAGTTTAATACGCCGTAGATGTGGAGAGGTTTCACCGGCTTTTGTATATAAGCTCTCCACCGGGGATTTTCTAAAGGCCCCGAGCACTAATCTGAGCCCCTGATGGTAAGTTGCGTTGAGGATTTTTATGTACAACTTTGTGGCTGGTCCATATATAAAACTAGCATAGTCCAGTATGGAAAGGAGTAGCGATCTAGATAGTTTGATGATCAAAGTATACCGATCTGCTCCCTATTCAGTATGAGCCACTACACGTAGAAATTGTAAGATTTGCTACATTTCGTTTTCAAATACTTCAGATGAGAGATAAAAGTTAGTTTTCTGTCAAAAATGACACCTACAAACTTGTGCTGTTACACTACCGGAATTTCTGTTTCATCTAATTTCAAACATGGATCATTATGTAATTTTCTTATTTTGCAGAAATGTATACATTTAGTTTTTGTTTTAGAAAACGTAAACCCATATTCCGTGGCCCATTTCTGTATTTTATTTAAGCATTTCTGAATTGCTTTTCTGTTGTGTTCATATAGCAAGATTTGTACATGATTAAGAAATCATCAATATACAAGGGGCATCTAACGCCTGGGCTTAGAGATTTAACTAGGGAGTTGATTTTAACGCGAAAAAAACTGCTTTTTTATGGAACTCGTTCTTGTACTTCCGATAGTATACTTCCTATTTGGACTTTTAATATGCCGAACTTCTATGTAATACAATAGGCTTTTACTAAGTCGAAAAAGACTGCCGTGAGATGTTCCTTCCGAAGAAATGCTTCCCTGACAAAGGTCTCCAGCCGTACTTTCTTTTTTTTCCTGAACGTACATTGGAAATCACTGATTAGGCAGTTCTTTTCTAAATACCAAGTCAATCTGTTGTTGACTATTCTTTCCATAGTTTTACAAAGACAACTGGTTAACGTTATCGGCCTGTAATTTCCAGGGCCTGAGTCATCCTACCCAGGTTTCGGAATAGGACTGATGAAAGACTGTCTCCATAAATATGTGAAGTGGCCACTTGTCCATATGTTATTAAATAATTTTAGCAACAGTTGCAAAAATTTGTTTGGCAGATGCATTAGGAATTGATAATGAATATCGTCTGGTCTCACAACTGTATCATGGGCTTTAAAGATTCATTCAATTCTTCTATCGTAAATAGAAGCTTGTAGCTCTCACCATTAATGGATTAAAGTTCAATTTTTGTTTTCCAGCTTTTTGTTTGAACTTAAGAAATTGTTGACTGCCATTCTTGGCTGCTGAGTTTTTAGAGATGGTTAT